ATATAAGAACTCTCACACTGTCAAGGACGGTGTGAGAAATTTTTGACGCATCAAACAAACAAACAAAAAAATCTACCACAGCAAAGCATAATAATCATGTGACATCATGACCTGACTGGACTACTGTAATGCACTCTATGCTGGGCTCAGACAGGCCTCCATCTCGCGTCTCCAGCTCGTCCAGAATGTTGCTCGGCTCTTAACCAGAACTCGCAGGTTTGAGCATATTACACCAGTTCTGTCCTCCCTTCACTGGCTCCTTGTCCGTACTAGAATCGATTTTAAAATTCACCTGTTGACTTATAAGTGCCTAAATGGCCTACTGGAACCGTATGTTCCCTCTCATGTCCTGAGATTATCTGATCAGCTGCTTTTGGCTGTTCCAAATGCAAGATTGAAGCTTAGAGGTGATCATCAGAAATTTTCAGTCATGGGCCCCAAATTCTGGAACAACCTGCCCCCCAACATTAGGCAGGCCACCTCCTGCCGCTCTAGTTTATAAATCTCTAGTTTATTGCACCAAAGCTTTCAAGCTGGTAGAGTGTAGATCTTTGTGCAGAACATTGTGCTTTTAAATATACATAGTTTGAATTGCACTACAATTTGGAATTTTGTTGACAATGAGCAAAAATCTAAAGCCTACATTGGACCCTCCTCGATGTTAGAAAGGAATCTTGAATTATGATCAAAATAACACGTTTATTGAAATTATTATGTTTAGTGCTCTGTACAGTGTTGTTACAGACATGTCGCTTTTGATATTTTAAGATTTAGTTTCATTATACACAAGCATTTGATGTATTTATTTTACTTGGGTATCACTTTATATTACTGTACACAAACTTCAGAAAGGGGTAATGTTTTAGGTCTAAACGTCATAACTTCTTCATCACTAGTACCATTTTTATTGACATTTTTTGTTGCACAAGAACAGATCATAATCATGAATAAATATTCAACACAAAAACAGAGACAAAAATAACTGAGTTCATGAGGTGTTTATTGCAAGATGATTAGAAAACAGTCCACAAACCTGTACTACCTAAAGACAGAAATAAAACATCTTAATTGCTGTATAAAAACAGTATTAAAACACAGAGCAAGGCAAGTTAATCCAGTTCAAAAATACCAAACAACACGTATCACTGAGATTCACATCAGAAACATTAATTTGGCAACAGTCACACGTTTTCAACCCAACCATGCACGACTGAACCAGCCTGATCAACCCCGTCCATCAGAGGGTGTAAACATCTGTCTTGGTTGCTGCAGCCTCAAGTAAAGACTGGCTATAACACTGTGCTGTTTGATCGTTTCACACCACCATCACTTACTAGTAGTCAAAGAGACATAAGAAAATTCATCTAGTAATAGCCCACAAAACTGTCATCATATTTCCAAGAGTGAAAAATAAAGTAAACTACAGGTAAACAAAGAGAAAAAACATCTTAAAGTATAAAAAGGCCCCCAATGAATAAAAACAACATTCTTATACATCTACCTGCCCTCTACCATGTTAAAATGTTCTTTTAAGTTTGGCATACTAATAAAAAACAAGTGCTGCTGACTTTAGAAATCCCAGTTCATGGTCAAACATGAATGCTGACGACCCTGTTGTATCATTAAGAGGGTTTTTGCACCTGAAGTTTAAACCCGTTACAGTAACCCTGTGTTTTAACCGACCAAACTGGAAGACAATGTTGGGTTTTATGCAGATGCATTAGGTTAAATATTTCAAATAATGCACTGTGAACTTGTTCGTATGACAGGCCAGTAAACATCCAAGAACTGAGGAGCATCTAACAACTTTACATGAAAATAAAAAAAGATTGTAGCTTACCTAAACACAGTTGTTCCTTTATATCAGGATATCCCAGTGTTAATTATCAAATCACTACCACTGAAAACAATGGAAGCTAAAATACTCATCCAGTTATGTGTGGGTTTGTCAAAAACAATTATTTTTACTGACTGACTGTGCGTTTATTCACAATAAACTGACTTTGATTTGCAGATTATCAGAAATATGACTCAGATATTCTTGGTTTGCATTCTGAATGTTGCCATGGTTTTTTTCTTAATACAGAAACATTTTTTGACATTTAGATTTGACCTACAAATACACACAATTTTATGTTAAAATCAACATGAATCAAAGTGAATCGTGATTTTCTAAAACCTTACGGATACAATACTAAAAGCAGAGGGTGTTACATTGTGTTGGTATCAGCATTTTTTCCACAATGTGCACTATTGTTTTGTGTTCAGTTGGCTGTGAGGTTTGTTGAAGAACGTCAGAAGATGTGAGTGACTCGTTCGGAAAAAGGAACATTAAAATAACTCTGAAGACGTTCTCTCTTCTTTGCTGAACAGACAACGATGTCCTCGTTAATCATCCTGAAAGAAACGGAGACCAAAGTGAGGAAAAGTACATTTACAAAGAAACCTGTAATATACACAGAGTTCCTACATTGTGTTCTTTTTTGAAGTAATGTCTCTCTACTACTAAAATACCTTTCTATACAATTTCCATTTTTACATATTTTAGCTGCCCAAACTTAAATCCTCAGATTTTTTACATTATTTTGGGGCCACGTTCAGAGTCTTTATCCAAACATTTACTGTAAGTTTACAGTGAATGTTTGAATAGTGCTCAGGATTTTATTATGTACTTCAAAATATTAAAAAATAGAAACAAAGAACAAAAACATGGAACGGCACTTCTGAATGAATTCCTAATAAGTTTATGGGCCTAATCAAAGAGTTTAAGTCTTGTTATTTTTTAATTTAACAAAATGTACAATGTATAAGTCGTGCATGCTGCATGGGAGTAATGTGGGGATTCAGTTTTTATACATATATTTTATATATAAGGAATGTAGAACACACTCCTCTTGCACTATTTAACATTTTTTTTGAGCAAGTAAATTCTTTGAAGCTCTGATTTACGTCTTTGCAAAAAAAAAAAAAAACCTAAAAAAACAAACGTTTCTTTACTTTATTTACCTTTTGATCCCATGTTTATCCAGACATAAACACAATAAAAATTAACTCCATCTTTCTGAAGACTGCGTAGAACCCCCTCATCATACGTTCACTCACCCATTCATCTTCATCAACACCCTCGAAGGATTCCTGCGGCAACGGGTCGTCCAAGTTCCCCAACTTAGCCACCATGGCACTCAGCAGCTAAAGCCCACAGACACATATTTAGTGTCACATATCATGTGAATATACTGGTATGTTCTTTTTTCCAGGTATTTTTACTTGTGTAAGTGTTTTTTAACATGTAAAAGAAGATAAACTGAATGACTGCAGCAAGCAAACATCTGCTCACCTCCTCTTTTTTCTGTTCATCAGTTTTTTCCTCCAGGTAAACAGACGAAGGCAGATATTTCCTCACTGGAGCTTCTTTGGGCGCCTCGCTCACTGAAGGAAAATAAAAAACACGCACACTGAATGAAGCGCTCAGACGTACAGGGACATGCCGACCTGCAGACGGCACAGGAAGCATCTCCACAAAGAGGTAGAGCTCTGGGTTGTGTCCCTGTTGCACCTGGCGTCATGTCTTTGGGCTTCAGGCTGATCTTTCTGTGCTGGCCGTTGGATCCAGAGAGCCAGGCTGAGGCGGTCAGAGCAGGTTCCCACCACACTGCTGTGTCAACGTACACATCGTCCTGGAAGAACTCTTTCTGAAAACCCCAAGTAGAAGCATATTTAGTTTATTAGCGATAAAAACAGGAGGGGAAAAGCAGACAGATGCGATGCAGTTGTCTCACTTTGACCCGGGGCACTCTGAAGGCCACCGGCTCTATGGTGGTCTTGGTGAGCATCAGTCCCACGGCGATCTCCACATCACGCACATTGCACTCCGTTTTAGGCAGAAAGACCAACCCCTGCAGGCAGAATTAGTTTTATCTGGTTAACGTTGTAACAATTTCATTTCAAGCTGCACTGACGCACACTGCAGAAATCAGATGTAACACAACACATGAGATCAACTGACCTTATGAGGCTCAGGGGCGTTGAAACTGCTGCACTCAATAAAGTACGGCTCTTCAGGAACCAGCTCGTAAATGTACACTCTGGTGTCACCCTGAAAAACAGAAAAATCCACGTTTACATTCATCTTCTGTTTGATACAACTCGTGCAGCGTCGGCTGAAGAGTTTCTCAACGTTTTCTGTCACGTTCTTACTTTTCCAGTGAGAAACGCAACGCTGGTGTCGGGGTCGTAGAAAGGAATAAGAGTGGAGGGGGAGACGTTCAGACAAGTGCAAGCTATGGGGCCGGAGGACAGGGAGTCAGCGGAGTACAGGTAGAGTCCTCTTTCACTTCGACTGAAGGAGGACAAAAAGGATGAACAGTGAGGTTTTCTTTGAAATGAAAGCAAAGAAATTATCAGGATTGGAGCAGATTGGTCATAATTATAAAAAAATATATATATATTTTTGTGTAAGAAGGTCTCAATATTTCCAGAATAATCAATCCAAGTTAATTTATGTGTTTTACACTTTACCCAATGCGTTCATAATTTTTAGTACCTGTCAAATCCAGACACCAGAAGGAACTTGCCATCACACACCCAAACAACACGAGCCCCTCTGTGGCCCTCTGGACCTGGGCCCTCCTGGGAACAAATACAAAAATTAAAAAAAACACATCAGCTAAAAATCAGTAAAAAAGAAGTGATAATGGTTAGTTTTTTTATTTCTTCCTAAAAGCTGAGGTGACTGTCCTTTCAAACCATTTGTACTCTTCAAGCCAAGTCTCAGTACTTTGTAGAGTTTCATCATGCGTACCTGTACAGGTGCAGGGGACTTGCGAGGGTCATAGATGCGAACTTTTCCATCTTTGCAAACTGTGGCCAGCAGCTTTCCATCTGGGCTCCACGCCATGCAGAACACCTGAACATAAACAAGAAGAAACATGAAAAACACGAAACTTCTGGACTTTAAAAGCATTAAATCCTCACGGTCAGTTTATTCCATCAACAAACTGAATAAAAACAACTTTTTTTAAGAATTAGCAACAATTTACCAGTTCTTCTGAGCTAAATTCAAGTTTTTATTTTGTTTTTTTGTGCTTCTTGGTCACCCACCTGGTCCTCATGTCCGGTGAGAAGTTTGACCTGGTCTCCACTCTCCAGGTTCCACAGTCTGACTGTGAAATCGTAGGAGGAAGACACGAGTACTCCACTGGCCAGAGGGTGAAACTTGATGGAGTAGATCTTCTCTGTGTGGCCTAGAAAGAATCACAGCAGTCAACTTCACTGTCATCATCGCCTTCCTATGGAGGGTCATGCTCACTGAGATAAGTCTTGCTCTCTTGCAACTATTGCTCCTTTTTAATTACTTGAATTATTTACTGTAACATTTCAAACTGAGCTGAGCTCAGAATCACAGCATCAGTGAAAACAGAGAAAACTGATGGGACAATTTTTTCTTTCCTGTCACCTTGCAAGATGAGCTCAGGCTCAGCAATGGTTTCTTTCAGTCCACCTTCTGGTACCCTCCACACTCGGATTTTAGCGTCGTCACCAGCTAAAGAGGGACACACTCATTTTAAATACACACCGATAGACTCACACATACAGTAAAGAGGTAATGAGGCCTAGATGAAATCACAATAAATATTAAATTTGGCTTTGAGAGTGTGAATTTTTCACCTGAGTATTAAAAAACATCCGGGGCTTGTTTGTTATTATGGCTCAACTCACCCACTGCGAGTCTGTGTGTGTCAAAGGGGTCCCAGGAAAAGTCTGCCACATTTACAGAGTTTTGGATGGTGGGGAAGGCTGTTTCTGGAAGCCTGCCTGGATCAGAGCGCTGACGAGAGGAATCAAAAGTTCACGCAAAAGCAGTAAAACAGAGCAGGAAAGGACCAGCAACAGCTTCACTTCTTAAAAAACTCTGGTTTGTTCACCCCCCCAGCAGCTGACGCACCTCAAACACAGCAATCTGGCCTCCAGAGATGGCGAGCGGCACGGCCACACGCTGACGGTTCACACAGAAGCCATCACACTCGCCAGGCGTAGTCAGGTTGATGTTGCGGATGTTGGTGATGTGCGTGTCCCGATGCATCACCACGCCCTGAATGTGTCGAAACTTAGACGATGGTCCTGGGAACAAACAAACAAACAAACAAAATTAAAAAAAAAAGATCATTATAAACGTTTGGACACCAGACTTCAGGCGTGTGTGTATTTTTACCGAGCAAACTTTGAATAGTCTTGGTGCTCTGGCTGGGACTTGGACTGGGGACGAAGCCTGAGGACAGGCCGGAAGTGGAAGAAGGTGAGCGGGACACGGCAGCGCTGCTGCTGCTGGGGGTGCTCAGGGAACTACTGGAGGTGGAGCAGCTACGAGGCTGATCCTGGAAAAGCAGGAGGACGATTGTCAAGTCTCTTAATTAATAATAATAATAATAATAATTAATAATAATATTATTAATAAATCTATAAACCTGTCTCTCACCTGGTTGCTCTCTGCACTGACCATGTCCTTCTTGCCTGCTGTCTGTTTTGTTGGTGGTCTGGGCCGTTTGTCTGGATGGAGGTTGACTTTCTCCACCTGAGGACAAACAGAGCTGCCTGTTCTGCACAGAATGGAGTATTGTGTGTGTGGTGGTGGTAGTGGGGGGTGATTGTCTGTTACCTGCTTGTTCCCTCCCTTCCACCACTCCTCAGCAGACATTGCTGGAGTTGAGCCCGTTGTGTCTGGGTAAAGGTCTTCATGAAACTCCTGGCCTGAGTGCTGCAGGACATCGCGTCACACAAAACAAGTGCATCGATTAAGAAACCACAAGAAGAAGCGAAGCACCTCCACAGATCACGAGTCTGCTGCGTGTGTGAGCTCGTCTACCTTACGAGGGACTTGGTAGCTGACTGGCACGACGCAGCTGTCTGTTAGCTGAAAAACACGCATCACTTCGCAGGACAGGACATCCAGCGCCAGCTTGGGCACCATGGCAACCCCTCGTGTCGAGGCATCAGTTAGGCAGTGGCTCACTGATCAAATAAAAGCAGAAAGACGATCACTACGATAAAACAGATTCTCTAAGCAGACAGATAAAATCCTAGGCTCACCTTGAGATAGGAAAGGCTCAGAAGAGGAGATTTCAAAACAATCAATCCCAGTGTCTCCCTAAGAGACAAAAAAAATATATTTACATAAAAGTTAAAAGTAAAGTCAATCCATCACAGCAAGATAAAGATCAAATAAGAACTACAATGATACATTTTGGTTTTGAAACAAAGAATTGATGCAACTTGCAGTGTGCAGATGTTTAAAACCACCCAAGTTTCCAAGAAGCCAGACTTTCTTGCTATCTTATAGAAACAGTCTTGATCAGTGTATTTGAATATTTTCTGAAGACCCTTTAAAGTACCTGACTAAGACAGCTTATTGTGAAGAAAGTGGACAAGAAAAAGTGTCTAGTATGAACATATCCAGTGAAGATCAATGCAGAACCTGAGAGATGCCTCATCCTGCAGTTAATCTTCTGTATGTCTGCTGTTCAGATAATAACTCACTGGGAATCACTTTGTTGGTGCTAAAAGACTTATGTATGTCAAACTGTGTTTCCTTTAGTTTTTTCAGATTAAGTGGCAGAAATGAACCACTTGTGCCAAAAGATCCAATTTTAAATGAGTTTTTGACTAAGTTTTCTGTTCTGTCAACATAAAAAGGTTAATCTTCTGAGTTTCTGAGCCTTTTTTTTTTTTGCTTATATTATTTAAAAATTAGAATTAAGTGGCTTCACAAACAGGAAACTATATTTCTGAAGACCTAACAGAAACGTCTGAATATTCTGAAGAATTATTAATCGAGGCCTCTTTAAAAAAATTAAAAGTACGTCTGGATCCTTGGAAGGAAAAAAACCCCCAAAGAAATGAGTGATGATTTATGACTTTTGCCCAGCACAAAATAATTAATATGGAAGTCATTCTTTAGAGCTTTCACAACAGAGCTAAAAAATGTAACTATTAAAAGCTTACAATGCCAGCGAGTAGGAGCAGCCCGGTGTCGTGATCAAACAGGGGGATCAGGATCCTGCAATTAAAAAGACACAAGAGAAAGAGTAAAGGTAAATAAAAACTTTCATCATGTATTAAAGCAGGAAGGCAGAGGTTCAGTGGGTTGAAGCTTTATAAAATTACCACTAGGTGGTGTTGTTTGTTCAATTTTAGGCTAAAAAAGGAACCAACAGACAAACCCAAATTATATTTAATTCATCATGTAAAACAAGAAATGTAGTAAAGTACCAAACCTGACAGTTTACAATGTATTAATTTATAGTTAATAAAGCAAGATTAATTTTCTGTCACATAAACCTGATTAGCTGCACCTCAAACCTTCATCAGCACAAGCCCAAACAAGTCCACAGTCACCTGCTTCCTCTCATAAACTAAGAGGATTGAAAGCTGCAGGACTCAGGAATTAATGAGGAAAGTAGAACTGAGCAACCAAACAGGAAATATTTCTGCAAATGCTGGTAAATCTCTCTTACTCTCAACCTCAGTGTCTCACAGACCGTTCTAAAACCTTTTCGCTCTCATAAAAACGTCAGCGACAGTCGGGCAGTGTGTAAGGCTTCCAGGGTCGGGAACAGGATAAAAGAGGGCCGAGCTGATTAAAGTGAAGAGTGGCACTTCCAGTGACTGGTTTATGATAACGACCTTAGATAATTGTACTTTCAGGGGAAACCCACCGGAGGCTGACAGGTCAATGATGTATATGACAATATAATGACAGAGTTAGTTTGGGGACATTTCTTACAACAAACAGTAAAACCTAAGGGTTTGCTGTGAGCGGAAGATGCCACAGTAAAGTTAAAAAGCATGAGGTTACATGTCATCAATTTATCTGCATGGATCTAAGCAAAACCTTTCTGTCTTGTCATCATCACCGCTCATATTCTTGGCTCAGCTGACAGTGACAAGAAATCAGATATTATCAGTGTGCGTCCATTTTCTGAAGAATGTTTTCTGTTTGTTTGTTAAGGCATCTAAAAAAAATGCTCGAGCGATGAATCATTCAGACATAAAACGGCTCTTAAACTCAAAGAATGAACCAGTGTTGCGTTTACACACAACAGATAACTCAGAAAAGAACATATTTTCAACTATACCTTTGAGCACTTTGTTAATAACAGCCTGTCACAACAAGATATAAATTATGTTTCTTTAGATGCATCAAAGAAAAAAAAAAAAGTCAACAATTACAAAGTTTGGCAAAATAACATATTTTAAGTAAAGAGATTATAACAAATTCTGAAAATAGATGTCTGGACAGGAAAAATGAGTAAAAATACAGCAAAGTTCCAAATAAAACTAGAAGACCCTCCAAAAGCCAGGGAAAGACCACCTTAAAAGAATATAGACAAAGGTGTGGCGTTTAAAAGCCAAATATATTTCTAAAGGTAAGATAGATCAACAATTACAATATATTTTACACTTCAATCAACCTTTATTTATACATGTTAGTCTCATTGAGTCACGAGTACTCATTTACAAGAGAGACCTGTTTTAAACAAAAACCACAGATGAGGTACAGACTTCAATATACATTCATATAAAAGCATTTAAAAGGAAAATGAAATAAAAGAAGTGATAGAAAACAAAATGTGCTTAGAAATGTAAGGAGTAATCAGGAATGATCTGAACTACATTACTTATACAAATACTATCCTATACTCACTCTCTCTCTCTCTCTCTCTCTCTCTCTCTCTCTCTCTCTCTCTCTC